CCCAGTACGCCCGACGGTCAGTTCCGCTCTGTACAAAGGAGATTCTCCCAGAAGCTTTGTGCCTTGTCAGTTTTTTCAGCAAGCCAATGTAGGGGTTTTCTCCGTTGAGAGAAGAGTAGCAATGTTGGAGTCCACTTTGGCGAAATGAAGAAATGCCAAATTCATCAAAGTACCGTGCTCGACAAATCAAATGCACATACTATAGCATATTAGATTAATCCATTGCGTCTCAATTATTTTCTGTTACGCCCCCACTAACAGGAAGAAAACAATTCACGTCCCCCCGATTCTCTGCCACCACTATCAATATCATTTGTCAATAAAACTGTTATCAGTAAACCTCTGCATTTCATTGCATCCTTATTAACATTAAATAAAAGAAAAAAAAAGAAATATAGTTCAACTGACAGCAAAGAATAACTTTATTAACATTGTTTTTTCATCTGAAACTCAAAATATTTTATGTGCATCAATTTGCCTGAAAAAAAAATCCTTGTTTAAACAGTTAATATTTTTGACGAACTTATTGGACTATTTCATTCTGAAAATTAAATTAAATAATAGCAATAAATAATAACAAATTCAAATTCAGTTCATCAACATTAACTCAGGAGCCCATGATATAAAACACTTTAGTCTTGAAAACTTTTTTTTTTTTTAAACTCAAAATGAGGATGTCAGAATTGATGGATTCGATGAGCACATTTTGCAGTGCACAACTTTTCCAGCGGCTTATCAGCATGATTGAGGTGTAATGTCTGGCGCCTTGATTTATTTTGCTTCCTGCTGTCGGCAGCTGGCATTTTTTGACTCGTACGTCTCCCACTGTAGTCACACTGAAGCCAAGTGTTTCATATGCCTCGACATATTTCGGGTGACTTTCTTTTGTCACATCTGCTCTAAACCATTGAGCTAATACTCTCTGTGCAGTCTCTGACATTTTGAGGCTGCCACTGCCAACTGCTCTAGTGGATGTGCAATTACAATTTATTCTATTTTCTTCGGTGAAAAAAAAACACACGAAAACCCTGGCATTGCTCCACTATTTGAGAAGCACTGGATTAATCTATTGCTCATGACCATTGTTGACAGCTGCTTCCCGCCCCTGTTTCCAAAGATGTAATGCAGTGGTGTCAAACATGCGGCCCCTAGGAGGTTCGATCAGGCCTGCAGGATGATTTAAAAGTGAAAAAATGCATAAAAGACACGAATGAATATTTTTAATAACATGCAATTCATGGATTATCCACTGTTTTGATGAGAGAAGAAGACAACAGCAGTCTCAGTCTGTCACTGAGACAGAACCAACACAGCAGACGGGATCAATGCCCCATCTGTTGCTTGTTTCGATGTTGTTTCTACCCTAGTATCGACCCCTCCCCTACACCCTCATTAGCCAAAATGTCATTATCCAAACAGAGAAAAGTAGATACGGAGTGTAGAATTATCAATGAAAAATGGACCACGTCCTATTTATTTATAGAAATGCACGGAAAACCTTTGTGCTTGGTGTGTTTGCAACAGGTTTCGGTATTGAAGGAATATAATTTTCGACACCACTACGAGACTCTTCCCAGTGAAAATTTTGATGGCTTGCAAGGAAAACTGAGGAGATAAGATCAACAAACTGCAGGCAGGTCTGAGGAAACAGCAGTCACCTTTCATACAGAGCCGCAGCAATAAAAGCCAGCTACCTAATTGCTAGCGAATTAGCATTGGCGTCAAAGCTTCCGATTGTGACTTTGTTAAACGATGCATGATGAAGGCGGCTGAGCTTGTATGTCCCGAGAAGCGACAAGGTTTTACCAGTATTAGCCTGAAAAGGAATACGATAGCAGAGTGGATTTCTGACCTATCAACAGATTTAGACTGCCAATTGAAACAGAGAATCAAGTCATTTGTAACACTTTCTTTAATTTGTAAAGTGTAGGCAAGGATGACATTTCGATTTTATATGCACAAGTGTAAATGGTTTAAAAATTCCTTTCTTTATAAATATCGTTTAATATTAAAGTGCATTATTATATTTTTCAATACCAATTACTTGTTAAAGGTTTATACCTTTGTACAAATCAGTGGGATCAGTTGCAATGCATATATGTGAATAATAAAAGTGAATTGCACATTTGTCTAAGGAAATCTAAGGTGCTTCATGAAATGTTTTGTCAAAGATTTGTTCATTAAATTTCAACATTTTCCTCATGTTCTTGTGCTTCTTTATACCAAAACAAAGGAAAGACATGATATTTTGGTTATTTATAGCAGAGTATGGTATAATTTTAATGGTCCTGCCCACTTGACATCGACTAAGGCCGTATGTGGCCCACAATGTGAAATGAGCTTGACAATAGCAATAAATAATAACAAATTCAAATTCAGTTCATCAACATTAACTCAGGAGCCCATGATATAAAACACTTTAGTCTTGAAAACTTTTTTTTTTTTTAAACTCAAAATGAGGATGTCAGAATTGATGGATTCGATGAGCACATTTTGCAGTGCACAACTTTTCCAGCGGCTTATCAGCATGATTGAGGTGTAATGTCTGGCGCCTTGATTTATTTTGCTTCCTGCTGTCGGCAGCTGGCATTTTTTGACTCGTACGTCTCCCACTGTAGTCACACTGAAGCCAAGTGTTTCATATGCCTCGACATATTTCGGGTGACTTTCTTTTGTCACATCTGCTCTAAACCATTGAGCTAATACTCTCTGTGCAGTCTCTGACATTTTGAGGCTGCCACTGCCAACTGCTCTAGTGGATGTGCAATTACAATTTATTCTATTTTCTTCGGTGAAAAAAAACACACGAAAACCCTGGCATTGCTCCACTATTTGAGAAGCACTGGATTAATCTATTGCTCATGACCATTGTTGACAGCTGCTTCCCGCCCCTGTTTCCAAAGATGTAATGCAGTGGTGTCAAACATGCGGCCCCTAGGAGGTTCGATCAGGCCTGCAGGATGATTTAAAAGTGAAAAAATGCATAAAAGACACGAATGAATATTTTTAATAACATGCAATTCATGGATTATCCACTGTTTTGATGAGAGAAGAAGACAACAGCAGTCTCAGTCTGTCACTGAGACAGAACCAACACAGCAGACGGGATCAATGCCCCATCTGTTGCTTGTTTCGATGTTGTTTCTACCCTAGTATCGACCCCTCCCCTACACCCTCATTAGCCAAAATGTCATTATCCAAACAGAGAAAAGTAGATACGGAGTGTAGAATTATCAATGAAAAATGGACCACGTCCTATTTATTTATAGAAATGCACGGAAAACCTTTGTGCTTGGTGTGTTTGCAACAGGTTTCGGTATTGAAGGAATATAATTTTCGACACCACTACGAGACTCTTCCCAGTGAAAATTTTGATGGCTTGCAAGGAAAACTGAGGAGATAAGATCAACAAACTGCAGGCAGGTCTGAGGAAACAGCAGTCACCTTTCATACAGAGCCGCAGCAATAAAAGCCAGCTACCTAATTGCTAGCGAATTAGCATTGGCGTCAAAGCTTCCGATTGTGACTTTGTTAAACGATGCATGATGAAGGCGGCTGAGCTTGTATGTCCCGAGAAGCGACAAGGTTTTACCAGTATTAGCCTGAAAAGGAATACGATAGCAGAGTGGATTTCTGACCTATCAACAGATTTAGACTGCCAATTGAAACAGAGAATCAAGTCATTTGTAACACTTTCTTTAATTTGTAAAGTGTAGGCAAGGATGACATTTCGATTTTATATGCACAAGTGTAAATGGTTTAAAAATTCCTTTCTTTATAAATATCGTTTAATATTAAAGTGCATTATTATATTTTTCAATACCAATTACTTGTTAAAGGTTTATACCTTTGTACAAATCAGTGGGATCAGTTGCAATGCATATATGTGAATAATAAAAGTGAATTGCACATTTGTCTAAGGAAATCTAAGGTGCTTCATGAAATGTTTTGTCAAAGATTTGTTCATTAAATTTCAACATTTTCCTCATGTTCTTGTGCTTCTTTATACCAAAACAAAGGAAAGACATGATATTTTGGTTATTTATAGCAGAGTATGGTATAATTTTAATGGTCCTGCCCACTTGACATCGACTAAGGCCGTATGTGGCCCACAATGTGAAATGAGCTTGACACCCCTGAATTGTAAAGTCTACAGTGTAATGGATAATTACGTAAATTCTTTCTACCCCCCCAAAATTGCTGCTGTAGACTGTAAATTTCCCCAGTGTGGGACAAATAAAGGATATCTTATGATATCTTATTTATTAAATTGGAATCTAGCAAAGTGCTGTCAACAAACAACACATTGATCTTTGACATTCCCAATAGTCTCTGTTTAACTCGAAAAGGTTTGTCGTGTCATGGGAAAACTGTAAATGTTTTATATTGCCGCAAATCAAAAAGGCACACTGTAGTTATGGTTCATTTGCGTGTGTACTTGATGCATCACAATGAAACAACCATGCACGCGCGCACGCACACACGCACACACACTAAGGGACCGGCTGTCATCCCATGATAGACTTACCCTGTTTTTAATGTCCAAATGAGGAATTGGCGGTTTGATTCACAGTGGACGCCTCAGTTAGTTCACTTCATCGGTACCATTACAGGACTTGTTTATTTCTCCAAATAAAAAAAAACGAGCAGTTGAACACACCGGCGGCAATGTATAATCCTCTCACCCACATTCTGTTCCCCTTCCGCTTCCTTCCAAGGGAAGTGTCGCAACATCCCGTTATCGAAGCTTGCGTTTCCAAATCTATAATTACAATAAAATATTTAAAGGATGGGATGAAAGTGATATTAACATTTCATTTCGTATTATCTTTTGACGTCGTGGTTGGGGTTTAAAATACATTATCGCGCTATTATTTGTCGTGCTCACTCAAGGCTTGCAACGCGTTAACAATAACAATGAGTGTGGTGAGATGAAACAAACAAACTAGTCGTTGATTATATTGATTTTCATTTATACACAATGCATTTCAATGCCTCATGACGCAGTCACGTGACTATCGCCGTGTGTCAGCTGACGAAAAAGAAGCTGAACTGGGAAAATTATGGTGGTTCAACTAAACACCTTGTCCCTTTCGGAGTGTCTTCAAGTAAGTGCAAATAAGTGTCTTATTTATGTGGACAGCAACACGTTTAAAGATTGTTGATGGTGAACGCTTTCTGAGCAATCAAACCACGTGAATGAATTTTAAACTGAATAGAACGTTGACGCAATGCTAACTGCAAACTGGGTTTGCCGAACAAAAAGGCGTTTGATCCACACGTCGGAACGCAAGAAAAATTGTTAATAGTTGCACATAAACATTTTGGTGTAGTTCTCAAATGAGCAACAGAGTTTGTTGTTTGGTGCTAATTTATTCCTGATGGTGCTCATTTTTTTCCTAAACCACTGACCTCATGGATGAACGTAAAGATTGACAGCGCATCTGGCCAAACAATTTCTGCAGCTTCAGGAAGTCGAACTAAAACGTCAAGAATGCGATACTTTTATTTTGATGTGCGCAGGTGAATATAAATCTGTGTGAAACTTTGAAGAAGTACTGTATGAGTTCCTTAATGAAAAATGTCACCGAATGTGGTGCGTATTCAATGATATGTTTTTTATTTGTTTGTTTTTTTGCATCCGTCAACACTGGTCAACCTGTGAATGGCAGCCATATTTTATTTGCAAATGTAGGCTTTCTATTAATATATAACGAATATCTGAGAGCATCCAGACTTTGACTTCATATTGCTATCAAATCTTTGTTCAGGTCATCATGTGAAAGTCCCCCCCCCCTCCCCCTCCCCGATCAAAGAATGAAAATTATGTACTTAACAAGCCTGAGCTGCTGTTTCACACTTTCAACCATGACACATAGCCTTACAGTCCTGCGCGTCTGCAGCTTTGTCACAGGGTAGTGGATGGACTCTGTGGCCGAGAACCTCCTCGCAAAGGGGACTACAATGCCACCTGGAGCCTGGAGGAGTGGCTGGAGATTACCAACTCTTTGACAGCGGTCTTCCGGCTGTCCGTAGGGAACAACAGCTCTGACGAGGAGGTGAGAGCACATTAAGGGACAGTCGACACACGAACTGTGGTGGTGAGAAACTCTTGTATTTCCAAGTCAGATTTCCAGTGTTTCCTCCTGGTTGTGTTCAGGTGATGATTCGCCTGTCTGAGTTGAGTAGCAGCCACTCAGAGGCTGTGCTCAACGTACTGAGATCACGACGGGAAGAGATTTGCCATGCTCTGTTGACTAGAACCCACGCAATCTCCTCTGCTATGTTACAGGACTTTGACTGGCAGCTGAAGGTGAATAAACGCTTTGCTTCGTTCACTATGTCTGTGTCCTGTAAATAGGACACGAATAAAGTTTCTTTTTTTTTGTGTGTGTGAACAAGATATACAGTCAAATACTGTCTGTTCATGTAATGGATGGATGGATGGATGAACATAAAAATATGTCCGGCATCAAGGCTGTCACACCTCAAAAAAACCTTCAGGCAGTATCCAAAGTTTTTGTAACATTGTTACATTCTTATTTGTCCTGCAATTATGAATGGAAATGAACACCTTTAATCTTGGATTAGAAACATAACATTCTTGAAATACAAATCTTTTTTCTATTAATGCAAAAGGTTTGACAAAAGTACTTTGACGTCTTAGAGAATTACTGCTTACTTTATGTAACCTATGGCAGGTGGCTTACAAAAGGCAAAAATGCATGCCAATAATGTGTCAATTCGGCATAACTGTGAGCAAAAATATTGCAGAATCAAAGTTCAAGTTAAAAAAATGTCCATTTTTTTTTCAATAGTTGTGTCAATAAAAACAGCATTTTCTTCCATTGAACACAATCTGTTTTATTTTTTGAACAACCTATTGATAATTGGTACATAAAGAAATGCATCCAAGGCTCAAAAGAACTTTTTTCTTTGTTTTGTTAATCTGTGACTTCATTTGAGGAGCTATTTTGTAATTTTAAGGCGCAATTATTTTTTGCAGTTAATCCCAAGGAGCTGAAACAAGAGTTTTCTTCATAAAAATATGACAATGTAACATGGGGCTATAGCTATTGCATCTTTTAGTGTTTCAGTGTCTTCCTGAAAATTCCAAGTTACATTTCATTTTTGCTTGATTAAAGAGCAATTATGAATGCAAAAGTGAAAATAATACACTTCACTAAATAACCAACAACCAATTGGTTTCGAAATGGTTGGCTTGGTTTTTACCTAATCAACAGTTAGTGTTTCTTGAATTCATAACGCTCATAGCAGCAAACTATTTTCTTGTCTCAAAGCATTTTCTATGCAGCAATTTCAAACACAAATATACATTTCAGTTTAAACTTAGCATTTCTTCAATCAAAAACATTAATAATTTAACAAAAAAGGCGTTCATAAACATTAATGCTACTTCACTGGAGTAGTGAGTATTTTAGCATGTGTCATAATACACTGCCCTCCAGACTGCCTCTAAATGTTGTCATTTTCATCTACCCGCGGCAGCGCAACCAGTACATTTTTTAATTTAGTCTTTTTGAGCATTTTTGTGGCGGCCCGGCGGTCCACTGGTTAGCGCATCAACCTCACAGTGCAGAGGTGCAGGGTTCTATTCCGGCTCGGGCCTCCCTGTGTGGAGTTTGCATGTTCTCCCCAGGTCTGCGTGGGTTTTCTCCGCTGACTCAGGTTTCCTCCCACATTCCAAAAACATGCATAACAGGCTGATTGAACACTCAAAATTGTCCCTAGGTGTGAGTGTGGATGGTTGTTCGTCTCTGTGTGCCCTGCGATTGGCTGGCAACCGGTTCAGGGTGTCCCCCGCCTATTTCCCGAAGACGGCTGGGATAGGCTCCAGCACCCCCCCGCCACCCTTGTGAGGATAAAGCGGATTGGAAAATGGAGTTCCCAGAGAAAACCCACGCAGACACGATGAGAACATGCAAACTCCACTTAGGAAGGCGGAGCCTGGATCGAATCCACGACCTCTGCACTGTGAGGTCGACGTGCTCACCACTCGATCTCCGGGCCGCCAAAAATCACACAAGCTAGCCAGGAGTCAAACCCATCATCTTCACCCTATCCATTGCGCCACTAGCACCACCCACTAAATCTCCAACTTGCTAAAAAATAATTGCAAAAAAAAAAAAACGCTCCTAGTGTTAAAAAAAAAAAAAAAAGTTACTCTTGAGCCTTGAATCCAGAAGGTTCATAGCTGTGCATTTATGAGCTGAGGACCAGCTCACAAGGAATTAGACAAATGTTCTTTATACTACTCAAAGTAGACTTCTCCCACTGGTACAAATGTTGAAACAAAAATGAAGACACCTTGAGAGTAAACAAACATTTCCTTCATTTGTTAATGTAAGCAATGTTCCCTTTAAGATGCACTCTGCTTTCACCCTCTCTGTGCACGTGGTGACAGTGGTGCGCACCACACACACACACACACACACACACACACACACACACACACATTACATTTCTACACTCATTCTTTCATTTCCACAGTTTGTTCGACAAAGAGGACACAACACCATTCCCATTTCCATCACAGTTTCAGTTGTGTGAACGAGGGTGCACACTCAGTTTCTTCTGTGGTTTGAAATCTACATTGACACACGTAGATTCACACTCACCTCCGACGAGATGCCGCAGGTGCCATGCCAACCGCTCCATTCAGGAAGTACAATAAGGGGCGCGATTTACAAATTTATAGATGGACCATTGCTTGTAATTATGCCAGAGTTAGTTAGCACAGTGGCTAAATCTCTTATTTCCTCTCCTCTGAGTGGATGTGTGTGTGTGACCCCTCACACTTTCACTCTCTGCTCACATGGGAAGGAGAAAAAAAATAAATGTGGCGGGCATCTTGTCCTTAACTTAAAAGAGGCGACTCGTAGAGTTCGTGACGGTCACTTCTTTGCAGATAACCAATCGTATTGCAGCAGGGTGTGCCATACTTCGAAATTGCTTCCAAAAAAAAAAAAAAAAAAAGCTCATTACCGGTGACGCACAGTTTTTGCAGAAACCTTGACTTTGATTAACCAGAGTAAACCATCAAACCGGGTATCGGCCCACCGAGTGGCACTCATCCAAACAGAATATCCTTCAAATACAAAAGGGTCAGGGTGGTCCGGTGGTTAGCTGCGTCGATCTCACAGTGCAGAGGTGTAGGGTTTGATTCTGGCTCCCGCTTCCCTGTGTGGAGTTTGCATGTTCTCCCCGTTCCTGCGTGGGTTTTCTCTGGGTACTCCAGTTTCCTCCCACATTCTAAAAACATGCATGGCAATCTGATTGAACACTCCAAATTGTTCCTAGGTGTCAGTGTGAGCGCGGATGGTTGTTCGTCTCTGTGTGCCCTGCGATTGCCTGGCAACTGGTTCAGGGTGTCCCCCGCCTACTGCCCGAAGACGGCTGGGACAGGCTCCAGCACCATCCGCGACCCTTGTGAGGATCAAGCGGACTGGAAAAAGGATGGATGGATGGACAAAAGGGTCAATCAAAGCTATGATAGCAAGATTACAGACATTTTGTGACACAATAAAAACCTGGACGTGACCCAAAGTTTGGAAATGGTATCATGAATACTGTATATATGGTTGTCATGGAAACAAGCAGTTGATTTTATTTGCATTCCTGTACCTCCCCCTACCTCTAGTTGGCGCTGTCCAGTGACAAGATTTCAGCTCTTCAGACTCCTCTGTTAAGTCTTAGTCTGGATGTAAGAGAGAACGGAACCCTCAACTCTTTTTCCATGGAGATGAACAAAGAGGAACTTAATACACTCATCTCGTCACTGGACGCCGCTAATAAGGTAAACCAACACTGCACATTGGCCTCCTTCACTGGTTGTTTCACAAGGCAAAGGTTTGGACACATTTGCTCATGCTATTCAAAATCTATTTTCAATTCATTCATTTTTCATTTCAGTTCAAGTTTCACATTCTGATTGACATCTTAGACTTACATGGTGCTGAAATCTACACTCACATTTTGCGTTCCTCAATTTGAATATGTATTAGTTACAATATATTCATCAATACACCGTGGACTGATTACCAGTCGGTTATAAGGCCGCTTTTGCAGCGCGCCTACAAACGTTTGCCTGTACTTAAGTAAGCTTTGGCCTGGCACTTTCCATCTGCGATGCCAGAGGGAAAAAAACAGGAAAAAGCCACCTTTTACAGCAACCGTAAAAGAGAGGATCACGAAAACAGTTCCTATTCACAACTATGGACAATTTAGGGTTTTGATAACCACATAACCAGGGCCTGGGAAATTTAAATGAGGGAGGGCGCCGCAATGTTTCACCATTGCTGTTGTGATGTCACATAGGACCACTGATAAATTTAGATCATGGTTGCACTGTCGTTTATATTTACAGAAGCTCTTTTCATAAACGTACTTACTTGTGTTGTTTAGGTCGACACATCATCTGCGATCGGTGTTGTTCAGTAATGGGCAACTCAGATAAACAGAGTATATCCAATTTGTGTCTCGATCCTGCACTGGTGTTGACACATATCAGAGTCGGACAGTGGGGGCGATAAGGAACAAGTTGGCCCGCGAAGAGTGAAAATCCATGTAAACATGACACCCATTGAAATGCATCTGGCGGGGGAAGAAAAAAACGAGGAAAAAAAAATCTAACCAAATGCATTTAAAAAACAAAAAATGATGACCATTCACTGTCCATTTTCCATGGGAAGTTGGGGGGGACTTGTACTCCCCGATTCCCCAAAATCTATATTTAACAAAAAAAAAAATCTGTAAAGATCCAATTCCATCGTTGACTGTTTCAAATGTTTGTCCGCATTTGGAGTCGTCCTGCTTGTGCTTAAAGCTATCATATTGCATTCCTTTTTTTTCCTGCCATAGCACATATCTGAATTGTACATCTTGAGAGCAGAAAGATGGAGATTTTGTGTAAATCCAGCTTAAGTAATGGTTGATCAGTTCAGACCTGAACTTTTTTTTTTTTTAATGCAGGTACTACTCCAGTTGAAATAATGGAACAGTTGAAGAAATATTGATCCTCGTCACACCTCCAAAGAGACAGTCAAGTAAGGATGGATGCTATCAACGGGGTGAACCTTTTCAAGAACTGACTCGCACAAGAACACCTGCGCATGCGTCAGTCAGTTGGGGACCAAACAAACGGGCAGCCACTGAAATTTTGTATCCCTAGTACGAAAGTGTCTGCCAAAATGCACACGCTCAACTTGCAGGCAATGTTTAAAAGGTCTCAGCCCTAAGTGACAAAACATCAGGTGCGCTTGTTGAACTGCTCTTAATTGTATTTCTATCATTGACTGTTGACGTAAAAAAAACTACTGCGAAGCTCTGACAAGTTCACCCAAAGGCGGAAAGCAGAAATGTGATTGTAAAACTTCATTTTTCACAATATCCCAACAAAAAAGAAAAATTCAGAACATCATCAAAGATAAATGAAAATTGTAAATTCATTGAGCACATTTCTTATGTCAATATAGATGAAACCGAGGGAACAGAAAGAAGCCAAGTACGGGAGCTGGCAGAGAGCGAAACTAATTTTCTCGTCACTCTCATTTTTTAAATTAAGAAGCATTTCCAGATCATGTTGCTGTTGTGATTGCGTCTGGTCAAATTAGCGATTGATTTGCAGTTACACTGCCTTCAAATCACTTCACTCACATTATGTGGCCCAAATAACACTTCTCAGCAACGAAGTAACGCACCTTATTGGATGAAACTACGGTGCGCTGTAAAAAGACATTTCATCACCATATATGCACTAAATATCCCTCTGCACTGTGGCAAAGCATTGCGCTTCAGATGTGCTTTGGGTCATGTGATCCACCGCATCAAGAAATGAAGAAATGTCTTAACTGTCTCTTGTCAGTCTCGTGTCCCGCCCGGTGTTGTTCCTTGATTTTGCATCTATACCTCCTCTCTCCGAACTGTACGGTGCACATATCCAGCCAAGGTCAGAAAACACTGCATTCAGCTGATCAGTGAAATGACTATCAAATGACACAGCCTATGCATGTTTAAAATACATGAAATAAAAATCAAGTTTCCAGTGGTTGAGAGATCCAAATCACAGCTGTCTTCGTTGCTTTGAATTCTGTTTGGCAGCCAAATACTTTACCTTGCTCATAAAGAACCGCACGCCCGGAGACCTGAAAGTCACTTCCCATCAGAACAAGTTCTGCACTTTGTCGACCCATGTACATTCAATACAGCTTTGTTGTCTCAGGAAGCTGGCTCACATTCGAACTGACATGCAGTGGGAGTTGAGAGATGTCGTTTTATTGCTGATGTAAAATTGCGTCTGATGAGCATGTTGACTCAATTATTTTATTACAACTTATTTGGTTTTTTCTTAGTTTTTAGATATAATTATCAAAATTAAATGGATTAACACCTGAAATGTATCAGTTTGTGTGAAATTAATGTAGGCATAACACAAGTTTCACTTTTTGAATTGTGTTACTGAAATAAATCAACTTTTTCATGACAATTTTTTTTTGAGCACCTGTGTGCGTGTGTTTCTATCTATCCACATATACATATACCGTGTGTGTATATATATATATATATATATATATATATATATATACACACACACACACACACACCGAATCAATTAGCCCACACTCGGCCATCGCCGACAGAGGAACGTCGCAAGGGCTGGGCAAAGACAAATAGGAAGGCCGCCGCGGTGCCCTCGGGACTGATCTCCAGAAATGATCCTTCCGCAGGTTCACCTACGGAAACTTTGTTACGACTTTTACTTCCTGGAGACAGTCAAGTTTGACCGTCCTATCGACACGCCACCAGGACCCTGCCGCTCGAGACTGCGCGGGCCGCTAGCTGCTCTCCAGAAATGATCCTTTTGCAGGTTCACCGATGGAAACCTTGTTACGACTTTTACTTCCTCGAAATCGTCAAGTTTCATTGTCTTCTCGGCACACCGCAGCATATGTGTGTCTATATATTGGTCTCTGTCTCTCTCTCTGTCTCTCTCTCTCTCTCTCTCTCTCTCTCTCTCTCTGTGTATCATTTTCTACCGTTTATCTGGGATCGAGTCTCGGAGGCAGCAGCTTTAGCAGGGAATCCCACACTTTCCTCTCCCAGTTACGTCTTGCAACTCTTTCGGAGAGATCTAAGGTGTTCCTAGGCCTGGCGGGGGAAATATGGTCCCTCCAGCGTGTCCTTGGGCTTCCTGCCGGTGGGACATGCCCAAAGCACCTCACCAAGGAGGCGTCAGGGAGGTATCCTAATCAGATGCCCGAGCCACCTCACCTCGCTCCTCTCAATGTGGAGAGGTAGCAGCCCGCCTCTGAGTCCCTCCCAGATGACTGAGCTTCTCACTCAATCTCTTAAGGGAGACCCCGGACACCCTGCGAAAGAAACCCATTTCAGCCGCTTGTGTCCGGGATCTTGTTCTTTTGGTCAAGAACCACAGCTCGTGACCATGGATGAGAGAAGGAACATAGATCAACAGGTAAGTTGAAAGCTTCACCTTTCGGCTCAGCTCCTTCTTCACCACGACAGACCGATACAGAGTCCTCAACGCAACAGACACCGCGCCAATCTGTCTATCGATCTTACGTTCCATCCTGCCCTCACGTGTGAAGGCCCAAGATACATAAACTCCTCCACTTGGGGCAGGATCTCATCCCTGACGCGGAGAGGGCACTCCACCCCTTTCCGACTGAGGACCATGGTCTCAAATTTGGAAGTGCTCATTTTCATCTCAACCGCTTCACACTCGGCCATGAACTCCTCCAGTGAGAGTTGGAGATCAGGCCCACATCATCTCCAAAAAGCAGAGATGCAATAGTGAGGCCACCAAAGCGTACCCCTTCACTGCATCGGCTCCGTCTCGAAATTCTGTCCAGAAAAGTTATGTACAGGATTGGAAAAATCGCAGCCTTGGTGGAGTCCAACCCTCACTGAAAACAAATGTGACTTATGGCAATGCATACCAAACTCTGACATCGGTGGTCCAGGGACCAAACAGCCCATATCAGGGGCTCTGTACGCCATACTCCTGAAGCACCCCCCACAGAACTCCCAGAGGGACATGGTCGAACGCCTTCTCCAAGTCCACAAAACACGTCGACTGGTTGGTTCCCATACCTCTTCGAGGACCCTGCTGAGGGTGTAGAGCTGGTCTACTGTTCCACGGCTGGGACAAAAACCACATTGCTTCTCCTGGATCCGAGATTCGACCTCTCCAGCACCCCCGAATAGACCTTACTAGGGAGGCTGAGGAATGTGATTCCTCTGTTATTGGAACACACCCTCCGGTCCCCTTTCTGAAAAAGAGGGACCAACACACCGGCCTACCAATCCAGAGGCACTGTCCCCGACGTCAATGTGATGTTGTCGAGGCGTGTCAACTCGGACAGCCCCACAAAATCCAGAGCCTATAGGACAGGCATGTCCAGCTATGAGCCTGGAGGGCCACTGTCCTGCCTGTTTTCCATCTTTCCCGGAAACAACAGACCTGATTCAAATTATCAGCTCATCAGTCAATCCCTGAAGCAGCATTAGAACGATCCTGATAATTTGAATCAGGTGCGTTGTTCCCAGGAGAGCTGGAAAACAGACAAGACAGCGGCCCTTGAGGACCAAGTTTGGACACCCGTGCTTTAGGAACTCTGGGCGTATCTCAGCCACTCCTGGGGCTTTGCCACCAAGAGATCTGGGATGCCACCAAGGTGATCAAAGGGATCTGGCAAGTGCTAAAGGATGTGTTGCATACCAAGACAAAAGCAGGCAAAATGGCTCCACATTACATGCATGCTGGTAATCAAATAGCTAACTGAGGTGGTCAACCTTTGATAATTACGTTGTTTGCATTCGACCTAAACTGACTGGGGAAATTGTGACACTCTGTCTCAACCCAAGAATTGAATGTTGTCTGTTCAAATTCGTTTGTTTATCTATAACAAGCAAATGAAATAGAAATTATTGGTATTGTGAACACATTTCAAAACAAAAGATAAACGGATTATGAAGGTCTGTATATGGCTAATGATGGTGTAATGGAAAAGAATAACGGAAAATAATTGAGAAGATGCCTTTACCAATGACTATGTTTCTGGATATTTGAGATTCCACCTACATTGGTGCAATTGGAGTTCCTCGTGGCGTATCAGATGAGTATAAGTTTGCTTACCAGGTCTTTCGTGTATCTGACGGTCACGTTTTACCTTATTACTCACAAGCTAATTGGTATGAAAAAAAAGAGCTAAAGTTAATGTTTGGGACGTGATTTTGTTATCGTTTGCTGCCTTGCTGCATTGCATGAAGTACATGTTTTAATATCATATGACTGTAACTGTTGAAGTGTGTATTCTGCCCATATTTAGTCATGCAATTATAACTTTCTCATGTCCGCAGGGAAACTCTGTTTTGTAGCTAGATGTGTCCTTGAAGTACACCACCTCATCAATTAACGGGCATCGGAATGCGCCAGTTGATACAAGCTAAGAATCGTTTTAGGAGAAACGAAGGGTCCTGATGCCTCACCATGAGTTTCGTTACCGTCCTTCTGATGATATAAATACATTGTGAATCCCTTCCATCTTTGCACTCGTGATCCGCAGCCATTGTCTGTAAACCATGGGTGCTGGGAATATTCTGTAAATAAAACCTTGGAAGGTACTGTTCATCGTCTCCAGCCTGTATTTGGATAGCCAACATCCTCACCATAAGAAATTAACCAACACGCAGGGGAAGAGAAAGGCCATCTCCCCCCAACAAGGGCTTTTTTTTAAGTTTCTAAAGAAATTGCAAAACTGATAAAAAAATGTCACGTATCCTTTCAAAATGGAAAAGTTCTTGTGAAAATCAAAATTGCAAATGTTTTACCAGTTTTTATAAAAGGTGAATTGCTAATGCAGGTCTCTTTCTTTCCCACCACAGATTTTTAAAAATATCTTTACTGTGAGATTATATAATTTTTTTGATTTTTGCACCTGTTATGGGCAGCATTTTTCACAGCCCCGTTCTGTTCAGCAGATATATCGCCGCTTTCGACAGTCTGCATTGGTACGTCTGGGTGGATGGCTGGTGAAGCCAAGGATAAGGATAGAGGAGCGTCGGCGCGGAGTGCTGATCTGTATTTGGAACTGAGAGTTGCCGGAATTTAGGCAGATTTTACATGGGACGGGAGAAGTGAACCGAACCAATCTCTTTTTTCATCAATGGATGCTACAGCTTTGTGTTTACTTTCAAACTTAGCTTGTAGCAGACGTGTGCACATTTTGAGCATGATGTCTCCACCGGTGAAAGGACACTTTGATTCTGTCCTCTTTCATCTAGAATTGCTTGAAACAACAAGGCGTATGATGGAATATGATCATGATTACATGACTGTCCATTCCTTATGTTACG